CTCCCCCAAAAAAACCCCACTGAGTTCCCCACCCCAAAGGACCCAGGGCTCCCAAATCCCCCAAACAACCCCCACATCCAGGCCCCCAGACCCCCCTGCCCGGAGGTACCCACTTGTCCGTGCCCTCCCCACCCCAACCCAAAGCACCCAGACGCACAACCCCCCAGCACCCTCCACCCCAAAGGCCCCAGGGTGCCCCCCTTCGCCCCCCAAAAGGGGACCTCGGGCTCACCTCTTGCCGTGGGGCGAGAGCTTCTGGGGGACGTTGCGTTTCTTGATGAGGGTCTCGACGGCGTTCCCGTGCAGGAGCCCCCGCGGCGCCCGCGGCTTGAAGAGCCCGGGGTAGCGCTTCTCCAGCGCCTGCTCCCTCCTGCCACGGGCCACACGTGGGCACCAGCACGGGGTATGGGGTATAGGGGCTCTGGGAGGGGACGGCCATGCCCCTGGGGGGCTGGTTTGGGGCTCAGGGTGGGCGTGGGGAGGGCATGGCCATGGGGTGGAGATTGGGCTGGCCGTGGGGTGATCGCGGGATGGGCACAGGGGGTGCTGTTGGGTTCTGGGGGTGCCCAGCTCACCTGAGCAGCTCCTTCTCCTTGAGCTCCAGCTGCAGCATGAGGGCACTGAGCTCCATGTAGAGGTTGTTGGCGCGCTCCAGCTTGCGCTCGTAGTGCTCCCGGATGTCCAGCGCGTGCCTGGGCCCCGGGACACGCAGGGGCGTTGGCACACACACCCCACGGTACCCACAGCGGGCAGGGGCAGGCACCCACGGACCCCCACGGCACCCACGTGCAGGGACAAACACCCACGGACCCCTCAAAGCCCTCACAGCATGCAAGGACAGGAACCCAACAGCTCCCCCCTGCAACCCCACACCCACCGGTATCCCCTACCCGTGTTCCCCCCACCCCACTCCAGTGCCCCCAGTGACCCCAGTGCCCCCGGGGCTGGGCCCCACCGGAGCTCCTCGCGCCGGCGGTTGATCAGCTCCTCCTCCAGCCGGTGCAGACACGTCCCCTCCGACTTGATCTTCTCGAAGTGCAGCTTCACCTCCTCCCGCCACTCCGCCTGTGGCACGGGGGGCACCGGTTGCCAGAGCCACCGCCCGGCACCACGGGCACCCAGCACCCTGGGCACTGGGCATCCTGCACACCAGCTGCCACAGGCACCGAGCACCAAGCAGGCCCTGAAGTCACGGGGTGCTGGGTACCTGGGATTTGAAGTAGGTCTCCTGGGGGGTGGAGAGCACGTCGGCCGAGGCGATGTCGAGGTGCAGCAGGATCTGGCGGAAGGACGGTCGGTTCCGGGGCTTGCTGTTCCTGGGGTGGGAGAGCAGCACGACACTGAGGGGTGCTGGGGGTGCTGATGAGGCTTTTGGGGACCAGGGGAAGGGAAGGGCATGTGGGGCACCCCCAGGGTGAAGGCGTCCCCCCTGCCCTGCCCGGTTTTGAGGTGCCAGTGACAGGTCCCACAGTGGGGTCCCGTCCGTGACACGGGTGCCCACGGCATGTCCCCAGGGTGGGTTGCCCCTGGCAGGGTGTCCCCCCTGGGCTGTCCCCCTGGGCACTCACCAGCACTGGCGCAGCAGCACCTTGAAGCCGTCGGGGCAGCTGGAGGGCACGGGCAGGTGGAGGCTGTTGCTGCCCACGCCCCAGATGATGGCCGACGAGTCCACGTCCTTGTAGGGGATCTCGCCCGTCAGCAGCTCCCACAGCACCACCCCGAAGGACCTGGGGGCACCCACAGCTCTGTCACCCACGGTGGGGCACCCCCAGTGTCCTCCTGCCTTCTCCTGGTATCCCCCTGCTGCCACTGCCCACCCTGGGGTCCCCTTTGCCCCCTGCTCCTGTGGCCCTTGGTGTCCCCCATTCCTGCAGTGTCACTCCCAGTGTCCCCATCTCCGGTCCCCCCCCGGCATCCCCGGTGACCCCACAACGTCTCCTGTCCCTATT